TAACTGTTATTTATTATTATCTATTACTTCATTACTTTGGTGTGGTCATAAGGGAGCTCTTTATCAGCAGGACAAACTGTAAAATATCTTCTCTCTTGGCTAATCTTTCCCATGTTCCTGTCTTTAAGGGATGGACAGATTTATAACTATAAGTTTATAAGTGCTTCAAGGCTGTTGCATCATCCTCCCTGGAACAGGTGAGAGGATGGGAACAGATCATTTTACCGCTTTAAAATCAGCACATTGTAAATAGTAGTTTAGGAGCCAGCACTGTCCAATAAAACAGCAATACATCAAAACTAAGAGAAAAAAATATCAGTGTAACAGATTTTCTATGACTATTTTGATTTAATCCTTTCAAACTCTAAAACAACAACAACAGCTTTGACAAAGCACTGCGTCATAATTGTTTGTTGCGCATGCAAATCAGTGACACGTTTCCTGAATGACTGGATGAGGACACAAACCATTAAAACAGTGTCATATCATTTTACTCATTTGTGCCATTATGTAACGCTCGCGTCCTCACAGCTGTTGCTTTCCTGTCGGGGGCTTTGAAAATCTACCAAGCAACACAGGGAATATAAATGGACATTTAGTGTGTATCTGTTTGTCTTCGCTGCGTTTGTTTTTACTTAAATTTTCATTCTTCTGTTGGGATCTTCTGTTATTTTACTTTAGAAAAAAGATCTGAGGCCGGATTTGGTATTTTGTGGTAACATTTTAGATTTAAAAAATGAAATCACAGTCCAAACACATGCATGGAGTTAGGCTGTAGGTGTGAATGTGTTGTTGAGTATGCGCCTTGCCTTTTGTCCATTGGCAGTTGGAATGAGTTTTACCTCCCCTGAATTGTATAGATGGAAAAATTATTGATTTAATAAATCTGAACTTGTTATAATGTAACTGTTAAAGGATATGCATTTTTTCTGCCATAGATTCACAGGGTGCTGTGGCTGTCATGATCCTGGCCTAGGTCTGTTTCTGGGTCTTGTGGTTGAATCCTTTGTTTGGTGTTTTTCATTCATCTTTATATTTTCTTCTTTTGGAGTCTTAGTTTGCCTTTTGAGTCTTAATCTCCCCTATGATACGTACATACCTGTGATGGTGTTTCTCTGCTTACTTGTAATTCTCACTTCTAGTTTTAATTTGGGGATTTCTTCAGTGTCTTGGGTTTAGTTTAGTTTTTCCCTTTCCAGGGGAAGCCATGTCTGCTTTCCCAGGTTGCCCTTCTCTGTGCGTCTCTTAACCTTCCCCACATTTCTCCAGCCAGTTGTGGATTTAGTTTATCCTCCTAACGGACTTTGTTAGAGTTTGTTTTGTTTTTGGTTTAGTTTCCATCCATGTGTATTTGGCTCCAAAACTCTGCATTTCATGATGGCGGCAGGCTTGATCGGTACCAAGGGGACCGACGTACACATTTCTGGGTGTTCACCTTAACAATAAACTGGACTGGTCAAAACAAGAAGGGCCAAAGTCAGCTCCATTTGCTGGGAAGGCTGAAGTCTTTTGGGATGTGCAGAACATTACAAAGGACCTTTTATGACACTGTGATGGCTTCTGCTATCTTTTATACGGTTCTCTGCTGGGGAGGTGGAAGCACGGAGAGGGATAGGAAATGGTTTAATAGACTAGTAAAGAGGGCTAGCTCTGTTCTGGACAGTCCCCTAGACCCCATAGAGCAGAGGGTGAGAGGAAGATGTTAGTCAACCTAAGGTCCATATTCCAATTTCTTCGTTCTGTTGGTTGGATAGAGTTTTATTTGTTACACAAAAACACAATCGTAAAGTATTTTTGCAGCATTACAAACCTTAAAACTATTTTTTAAAAGCATTTGACAGACAAGTTGCTCCATCACGAGCATGTCATTGGGACGTGGCCCCATGGAGTCGTGTAGTCATGGAGAGAAAAGTATCATCTTACCAAAGCAAGATGTATTTTTACACCATGTTGTTACACCAACTTGTTCAGCCCGACATGTGCTCCCTCTCTCTCTCTGTCTCCCAGAACTTCTAGGGCAGTATGGCGGGGGTGAGAATGGTCCCGCACATGAAAGAAGTGTACGTCACAGCCGTGTTTTGTTTTTGTGTGTACGTGAGAGCGTCAGCTAAAGGATGATGTTCCATAACCAATTAAGGCGAGGTCACCAGAACAGAGAAATGCATTACACCAGTCTTATGAAAGAAATACTTGGCTTTAATGTTACACTGTTGTATAAAGACATTATTTACATAATGACACACTAAATGCTGCAGCTGGAAAACTTGTCTAAAATTTGAGTGATACAGATTTCTTTTGCCATCACTAGAGTGTCAAACATGAGCTAAACAGATCTATTATTAAGAGTTTTTAAACCACTTGACAACACTTTACAAAAGCAGAGACTACTCAGGTAAAAATGTAATGTGTGTCTTTGAGTATGTGGCAGAGAAAAGCAGCACAATGGAGAAAACAATGATTTTCTTTAAGGCTGCTCACCAAACATTTTGCATCTTGATAGAACCACACTTGTCGTAACTTTAAGTGCTTTCATGGAAACGTAGCCGTGTGTTTTGCGTCACCAAACATTTAAAACCTTTTGCCGTGATCTCGTCAATCAGTTTCACTTTAAGATGAGTCACTGACATGGAAAGTGAAGTGAAAACATGGTCTAATTCAAACGTATTGTCTTGACCAGAACAGTTAATGGTAGGGAAAGGATGGTGGGGTGAGCTATGAGTCAGCTGCAAGAAAAGCACTTAGACACTAAAGAGGAGTGTTTGATGTATTTTTCTGTAA